AACTTAATTTTTCGCCCCAAAAAAAAAAAAAATGTAAGGGGTACCACTGTCGTTTTTTTTTTTCGAAATTTTGAGTTTCGATATCTCAGCTCTGGAAGGGTCTAGAGCCTCCATTTTTGCACTCAGGTCTAAGTCTCATGGCCCTCTATCAGAATCCAGAGTTTTGAGAAGATTGGAGAAACTTAATTTTTCGCCCGAAAAAAAAAAACGTAAGGGGTACCACTGTCGTTTTTTTTTTTTCGGGCCAAATTTTTGAGTTTCGATATCTCAGCTCTGGAAGGGGCTAGAGCCTCCATTTTTGCACTCAGGTCTAAGTCTCATGGCCCTCTATCAGAATCCAGAGTTTTGGGAAGATTGGAGAAACTTAATTTTTCGCCCGAAAAAAAAAACGTAAGGGGTACCACTGTCGTTTTTTTTTTCGGGTCGAATTTTGAGTTTTGATATCTCAGCTCTGGAAGGGGCTAGAGCCTCCATTTTTGCACTCAGGTCTAAGTCTCATGGCCCTCTATCAGAATCCAGAGTTTGAGAAGATTGGAGAAACTTAATTTTTCGCCCAAAAAAAAAAAACGTAAGGGGTACCACTGTCGTTTTTTTTTTTGGGGCCGAATTTTTGAGTTTCGATATCTCAGCTCTGGAAGGGGCTAGAGCCTCCATTTTTGCACTCAGGTCTAAGTCTCATGGCCCTCTATCAGAATCCAGAGTTTTGAGAAGATTGGAGAAACTTAATTTTTCGCCCAAAAAAAAAAAACGTAAGGGGTACCACTGTCGTTTTTTTTTTTCGGGTCGAATTTTGAGTTTCGATATCTCAGCTCTGGAAGGGGCTAGAGCCTCCATTTTTGCACTCAGGTCTAAGTCTCATGGCCTCTATCAGAACCAGAGTTTTGGAGAAGATTGGAGAAACTTAATTTTTCGCCCAAAAAAAAAAAAACGTAAGGGGTACCACTGTCGTTTTTTTTTCGGGCCGAATTTTGAGTTTCGATATCTCAGCTCTGGAAGGGGCTAGAGCCTCCATTTTTGCACTCAGGTCTAAGTCTCATGGCCCTCTATCAGAATTTTGGAAGATTGGAGAAACTTAATTTTTCGCCCCAAAAAAAAAAACGTAAGGGGTACCACTGTCGTTTTTTTTTCGGGCCGATTTTTTGAGTTTCGATATCTCAGCTCTGGAAGGGGCTAGAGCCTCCATTTTTGCACTCAGGTCTAAGTCTCATGGCCCTCTATCAGAATTTGGGAAGATTGGAGAAACTTAATTTTTCGCCCCAAAAAAAAAACGTAAGGGGTACCACTGTCGTTTTTTTTTTCGGGCCGAATTTTTGAGTTTCGATATCTCAGCTCTGGAAGGGGCTAGAGCCTCCATTTTTGCACTCAGGTCTAAGTCTCATGGCCCTATCAGAATCCAGAGTTTTGGGAAGATTGGAGAAACTTAATTTTTCGCCCAAAAAAAAAAACGTAAGGGGTACCACTGTCGTTTTTTTTTTTCGGGCCGAATTTTTGAGTTTCGATATCTCAGCTCTGGAAGGGGCTAGAGCCTCATTTTTGCACTCAGGTCTAAGTCTCATGGCCCTCTATCAGAATCCAGAGTTTTGGGAAGATTGGAGAAACTTAATTTTTCGCCCCAAAAAAAAAAAACGTAAGGGGTACCACTGTCGTTTTTTTTTTCGGGTCGAATTTTTGAGTTTCGATATCTCAGCTCTGGAAGGGGCTAGAGCCTCCATTTTTGCACTCAGGTCTAAGTCTCATGCCCTCTATCAGAATCCAGAGTTTGAGAAGATTGGAGAAACTTAATTTTTCGCCCAAAAAAAAAACGTAAGGGGTACCACTGTCGTTTTTTTTTTTTCGGGCCAAATTTTTGAGTTTCGATATCTCAGCTCTGGAAGGGGCTAGAGCCTCCATTTTTGCACTCAGGTCTAAGTCTCATGGCCCTCTATCAGAATCCAGAGTTTTGGGAAGATTGGAGAAACTTAATTTTTTCGCCCAAAAAAAAAAAAACGTAAAGGGTTACACTGTCGTTTTTTTTCGGGCCGAATTTTTGAGTTTTGATATCTCAGCTCTGGAAGGGGCTAGAGCCTCCATTTTGACTCA